AAGTATTACACTAACATGAAAAAAAGGCCTTAACATACAAATGTTGCCATAATACAAAGTATTACACTAACATGAAAAAAGGCCTTAACATACAAATGTTGCCATAATACAAAGTATTACATTAACATGAAGTTTTTTATCTAATAATGAAGCGACAATAAAAATTAGTCTCAGAACCCAGAATTTTAGCGTGTTATAATCCCTCAAATTTAACCTTGAACCACCTGTGGGCAGCAATTTGCAATATTGTTTAGTGCTGGTTACCGAAAGGTTTTGAGCTAACAAATAAAATACTAACAGATAAGTTACTCAGCAACATGCACGAAACAAACTATAATAAACAAATAGATACTGAAATAGATGAATAAAATTCCAATGTTTTTATAACTTTACACCGTGAATCATGGTGTATAAAAATTTTCATTAGCTGATTCTCATGGTTGCAAGTTAAAAGTTTTGTTAAAAACTACTTATATTGACCTCTGCGTAAAAATCCACTTCGCTCAAAGAGGGCTTCGGTTTGCTTCATCAAGATTTCTTTCCAATCTTTGGACAGAGTAACTCATTCTGGTCGCTGTCATGTGTTTTGGTAGAATAACTTTCTTTCGACCACCACAGTGTGTGGGTTAGGATAACCCTTATTTGTCAATGTAGTTTGTACGTCGAGATAATTCTTGCCGTCCCCGGTAGTTAATGAGTCGGGATAACTCATGTTAGTCACCGAAGTGGATCAGGATAAGTTATGCCTGTCACCGCAGTTAGTGGGTCGCGATAACTTATGCCAGCCACCGTAGTTATTGAATCACGATAACTTATGTTAGTCACCGTAATTATTGAATCACGATAACTTATGTTAGTCACCGTAGTTAGTGGGTCAGGGTAAGTCATGACAGCCACCGTAGTTAGTGAGTCACGATAACTTATGCCAGTCACCGTAGTTAATGTGTCAGGCTCAGGTACCGTAGTTAGTGAGTCAGGGTAACTCATGTTACTCACCGCAGTTAGTGGGTTACGGTAATTCATCCCAGTCATCGTAATTAGTGAATTAGGATAAGCCATGCCGACCGTCGTAGTTTGAGGGTTAGGGTAACAACACTTTATTTCATTCTACCAACAATGTCACGTCGTGTCTTAGGTACAGAAATAAAACTCCCATTAGTTATGTCAAATCCATTGTTATTGAATGAGATTCAGCAGAGCACATAGATATTTCTCTGCAAGACGTATTAAACCCTTTGAAAGAAAGAAAGACCTTTAAATACGACATTTTTTTTTTAAAGTAACACCTCTTAACAGATCGGTGTACGCACGTCTTGATAACCTTTAGTTTCTTCACTTTCACTACCTCGTGATAGTTTTCCTAAAAATGTTATTAAAACAAGTGATAATTGATTAATTAAGATTTTTAGTTTAGAGGGAACCAAAGATGTTGAACTTCACTATTCCCTAAAGTACTTCAAAATATAAAAAAAGCGAAAAAATATTCTCAGGTTTTAAAACATTAAATAAATGTTATAATCATTTATTGCAAGCAGAAGCCTGGTGGTTAGTTTGTTGGGCTGCGAATTGAAAGGTTCGATGTTCTAGATGTGATACTGTCTAATAAGCTCCGCACTTCCGGTTTGGTTTGAATTTCGCGCAAAGTTACAGGAGGGATATCTGCGCTAGTCAGCTAGTTAACACCACCTACCGTTAACTTTTGGGTTACTCTTTTACCAACGAATAGTGGGACTGATATTATAGCGCTCCCACGGCTGAAAGGGCGACCATGGTTGGTTGGACGGGGATTCGAACCCGCGATCCTCAAATTGCGAGTTGAGCGTTCTAACCACCTGGCCATACCAGTCTCGGTTATTACGGGTTTGTTGGTTAGTTCAAAGAGCCGGTCAAAGCCCTAGTGACGGCGAGTGTTGTTGGCTGAATGCCATTTCTTTGGTTAGTAGTTCAAAATTAGGTACTGTTACCTAAATCCTAGAGATTTCTCACCTACGTGTTTACCCTACTTGCGCACTGTTCATATTGAACATTCCAGAATTTTCATATCAAGGAATTTTAGGAAAAAGGAAAAACATAAAAAGTGTTTAATAAACACAAATATAGCTTTAGACTTTAATCTATAGATTACTTTGTTTTACGAGAGATTATATAAAAAACATGGCACTGAATTGATCAGTTTATCTTACCAAGAACATATCTTTTATATCTAAAAGTGGAAAACAGAAAAATTAAAACCCCTGTACTGAAAATTATCATTAAAGTTTAATGTAAAAATAACATCTTTGTATTTCATCATGTTCAATTATTCTGTAAACCACTGAGGCTGATGAGGATCTCTTCTTTACTTGAAAATAAACGTTTCAACAAGAAGTGTGAATAATCTCAGTTGAATTGCAAGCCTCAAATTTTCGTTAAGGTCGCAGAAACAAAACAAGAATATTTCCTTTTTCAGTGCCATCTCATTTTAGCGGTTCTCCTTAAAACACTCACCAGTACAATCCATCAGTGTGGCGGACTTCTTGTCGACGTTTTCTAACAAAATGAACGTCACTTACAGTAAAGCCCAAGAGCAAATGGGTGTTCCTCCAAACCACAGGCACAGCATGGTAAGTTTGGACACCGACGTCTTGTGTCATCAGAAACTCTCTACGTTCTTTCTTCTTGACGCCTTCTAGGCAACAGTGATTATAAAACATTATGTTATCCTCGAAAGTTGTGGCTGAAATGGAGAGCCTTCTTGGTGAACTGGTGACTGTACATTATGAAGATATACAGAAGTGGCTCTAATCACCAGTCAGGTTATCCATTTCAGCAACAACTTTAAATTGTTCACTTTCTGCCATGTGTTTAAACAACGATTATTCTCAAAAGTGCTATGTTGACTGAGTACGGAGACGCTTGGAGAACGTTCGCCAGCTATGTTTGTGCTGCAACATGTGAATTAGTTATTGTAGCTTAAAAAAACTAAAAGTCGTAAGAAACCTACGTGGTATAAAGGTACTTAACACATTTAACATACTGGAAAAACGAACGAATAATAGGAATGAATGAAACATTAGGTAATAAACTGTAAGAAATTACAATGTTTTATTACACAGAATTACGAACTTTGCTTTTTGTTTATTACACTGGAGACAAAAAATCCACAGTTGTTGAGATCGAACAGAAAGATTACAGATTTTTTTTCTTGCCGTCAGAAATAAGATTTCTCAGAATAAATATTAATATTTCATTTTATTCAAGTTTAATTATTATTTTTTTTACTATTTATCATAGACAAGGAGACAAAAGTTGGAAAGGCGATGAAACGAAGTGTATAATAATATTTTTTTCAATTGTTTTGTTTAAAAGAGACGGTGAGAATATCTAATGACAAGTAAAGATGAATCTCTTCTGGTTTTGAAAAAAAATCTTTAGTGTTCTGCCAGTTGTGTTTGTTTGTTTCAGATATTCTCACGAAGTATATAATGAATAATTACGCTAGCTATTCCTAGTTTTGAACTGACAGATTCCAGGGGAGGCAGCTAGTGAACAGCATCCACCGCTAACTCTTGTGATACGGTATTCGAATAGTGGGATTTGATTGACGCTCTTATAACTCACCTATGGCTTCAAAGTGCCGAAGGCGATTTTGCGGCAACGGACTAACGAATTCAGAGTCCGGTACACTAATCACAAGCTTACGCCAGGCCGGATCCGTCAGAGCATGGTATCCATTCTGGGGTTACAATACTTATGCGCTCTCTAATAGTTTTTTTTATTTTACACGAAAATGCTAAACACTACTTTGTTCCTTCCACGTTTCACCTGGTGATCAACGGTAAGTTTAGGACTTACAACATTAAAATCCGGGTTTGATTATTCGCGGTGGACAGAGTGCAGATAGCCCAATGTGTGGGTTTCACTAAAACAAACAAAACAATCTTGCGACTTACTGTTAACGACAATTATGCGGATATAATAACTAGTACTATTAAACCACTAAACGTTGTTATTTAATCTACTGTGAAATCTGAATAGCTTAACGTTATATTTATATTTGAAACGATTCAGCCAGTTAAACATGATATTTAAGATAAACAGTTAATAACACATGCATGACTATCTGCATGAAATTATGGTCTTGTATAGTACCAATTTTGCTGATAATATATCATATACATCATTAAATCTTAAATGGAGTATCATATGAGGTAAATATATTATTTGTATTATAAATTAGTATAACATATATTTCATGTTGGGTTGAAAGTAAACTGCTAATGTGATTTTTTTCTTTTTGTAGGAAAAAATTACTTTATTTCAGAAGTCTTACCAATTCGGTTAAATGTTAAAAAGTTAAATGCATATGTAAGCTCACACAGTTGTAAAGCATGTTTGGATATGATACTTAGCATGCGTATAGCCAAGTGCAGTAACATACAATCTACACTTATGAATTTCCTTTCCTGAGGCGTTTCCGTAAAAGAACATTGAAACATCATTAAAGAACTTTTTAGTTAGTATATAACGATAAAAAATCCATTGACGCAGTGTTTGCTTTGTTCATCATTACTGAAGAAGATAATTTAGATTAATCAATACACAGCTCACTTTATCGTAAATAAAGCAATGTCTTTTAAGTTTCTTCAAACAAAGTTCTTTATTTCACAGTGATAACACAGTAACAGTATCCAGAAAACTCATTAAGATGATACCACAGGCTTTCTAAAAGTTGAAGATCTCCAATTTTCAACTCCAACTTTTCATTAATCATTATGTCTAAAATTAAAACAGTAAAAAAAGTAAGAAACAGAAAATGTTTTAACTTAAATTACTACATTATAAAACCAAAACTCGTACACTATATTTTATAAAGCCGTTTCTTCTGAATATGATGGCTAACATTTTAATTTATTAACTGGTAGGTTCTGTAAAAAAACAATGCCTGCTCGTTTTGAATTAAAAAATAAATCACACAAAAGGTCTTTCAAATAATGTTTCCAACAAAGAACAAAGAAATAGCATGAAAATAAGAAATTAAAAGTACGTTCTTTTTTTTTTTTTAAGGACAAGTGAAACAAAATTGTTTTTGAGGGCTATAGTGAATATTAATACAGTAAATACACTTTAGACCGAAATGATATAATTTCCTTCAACCTTTATAAGTCTGCCTGCGGCAATTAGCCATTCTTTGTTTCTGGAGTCTACTTAAACAAAATGTCAGTATCCTTGTTTACAAAAGACTGACCTTACATGACAAGCAGGGTGCAATAAACTCTTGCAACATCAAAAATGCATTGGTCATTTACCTCTGTTTTTACTGAGTAGCAGTTAACAGTGGAAGAAAATACAGGTTTTAGTTTTGGGCAATGCTAATACAACAGTAACTAATATGGAAAAGAATAGTATATCAACGTAAAAAATAAAACCGAGAAAAATTTTAATGTCCTTGTGGAACCATGCTGATTGTAGACGCACGTTCCACATTAACCTCCAATTATTGTAAAAGAATTGGTAGAATTTTTCAAACACCCTGCCTGTGGAATTAACTACTTTTATAGTTGAAATAATGAGGTTATAGCACACAACAGTACGGGAAAACTTTAACGTTAAAGCTCGCACCAGAATTCGATTCAGCTTCCATTATAAAACACGCAGTCTCAATCGGTTGTTATTTCGTACTACTAAGTTGTATACAAAATTCTCGAGCGGCTAAAGGGCAGTCACACTTATATACATATGTAATACTTACGTTCTCACCTTACGATAACGAAACAGGTAAGTGGTAGATACAGAAGCAAGTGGATCTACTGTCCTAAAGGAAACATATGCTCATCATGCACACACACACACAAATATCTATATGTATATACCTTTCGAAAGAACTTCCTTACATAAAATTACTTTTGTATTAAAATTATCTTATCCATCAAAAACAGCAGGAAAAGCAACATCATAATCACGTATTTCGTGACCTAACACGAATGAACAACTGTCTGCAACTGATAAAGCTTTCTCTTTTCCTTAAGGTATTTTATTCCACACTTTACATTCTGTATGTGCATGAAAGTTTACGGGCTAACACATTCTGAAGTTGCAGTTTTTTTTTAAGTTAGCTGGTAAGCAGCTACGGCAAGTTAAATGTCTCAAGTTGAGAATACACTGACTTTCATTTCCATCGTTGCTACATAATGCACAAGAGAGAGACCACTTGTTAGCATTTTCCTTCATTAGGAATAACATGTAGTGTGTTTTATAGCCCATTAAATGATCAACAATATTTTATAAAGCTTATTTTAGACGGCTGTCGATGTTTCAGACCTCGGTGCCATCAACTCCTCCCTCAAAGACCTCAGGTGCCTTGTCTCCTTTATTTTGTGATGTCACATCTTCAATCGGCCGGAAGTAAGCCGAAGGATTTTCAATGACAGGTGTAGGCTCAACCACCTGGTTGGGACGAGATAACAAATCAGGTGCATTTCCTTCTGAATTGAGAGGTGATAAAACTTTATCTCGGATATCATCGTCAGGGTCCTGCCTCAGGAGCTCTTTGGCTCTAGGCTGAGATAGTTTTGGATCATTCTCCAATTCATTGGCTTCCATTTCTGAACTTCCATCTCCCCGTTCTCTTTCAAATGGCTTACGTTCATCTTTTCGCCGAAAGGTATCAGCCAATTCATTCTGCAGGCGTGAATGAAGGTCACCTGGTGGAACAGGCATAGGGACGGGAATAGGACCACGGGCATTCAATCGTTTCTCCACCTGGGGAGGAGGAGGAAGATGAAAAGAGGATTCTGGTTTCAAAGGGCTTTCCCAGGATGCTTTAGCGGGCATGTGGTCATTCACTACCCAAACATTAGGAGACAAACCAATGTCCCTTATCAGTGGATCGTAAGAATCTATGTCGGATGTCGGTAGCCCTTCATATGCACCTAGCCTAGAGGGTTTTTCTATTGTACTAGTACCAAGCAGTTTCAAGTCTACATCTTCCTGTAGCTCTTTAACCTCATTGCTACCAATAGAATTTCCCAGTTTGTGGCTGACGTCCTGCCGCTTGTGACTGCCTGATTTTCGTTGTCTTCTACGCAATATCCATAACAAAAGAGCAAATACGAGTAATACCAAAAGAGCGCCAATGATGATTCCAATAATCATTCCTATTGTAGATCCACTATCACCTTTTTCTTCTTTATCATTTTGTACAGGAGTGCTTTTCTCCCTCACCTCTTGTGGCTTTTCTCTGCCAGTTATTTTCTGTTCTGTTACGGGATGCCGAGAAATTACCAAAGTAAAATTTTTTATCCGTATTCCGGCAAGGTTTTCGGCAATGCACGAATATGTTCCAGCATTTGGATCTTGGACAAATGTTATCTTTAAACGAGAAAGCTTCTCTCTTTGTCCCATCTCGCTAACGACAAACGTCTGTTGTGAGGAAATCCCTTCAGAAAAGTTTGCAATTGTTCTTTGTCGCCACACCCACTTAATGGTTGGACTCGGATCTCCTGTTACTCTACATTCTAATGTGACATTTGCATTTTCATAAACACTGACTACGCTAGATGTATTAAGAAACTGAGGAGGACAAGAAAAGTCGTCGATTCTGATCAAATCCCACATTTTATCCTTAACATGTAAGGGTTGATGGCATCTGGGAGGAGTATAAGGTATGTTGTTTTCGTCTAGCCACTGCCGAAAACTACGTAGTTTACAGTCACATCTCCAGGGGTTGTCGTACAAAGAAATATCGTCTAATGATTTTAGAGGAATCATGACTTTACCTGATACAGTCTCTAGGTTGTTGAAGTCGATTCTTAATACTTGAAGGTTTTCTAAACCATTAAATGCATTTGCTGTTATAGTATGTATATGACAATTCGATAACTCAAGGGTTTTTAAGGATTTGGCGGAAGAAAAAGCGTGATTAGGTAGAGTGGATAAAGGGTTTCCGCTAATCTTCAGCTCTCTAAGACGTGGAACGTGAATGAAACTTGCGGAAGGGACAGTGGTTAATTTATTGTAACTAAGATCTAGCTCCACTAGGTTAGTTAACCGATTAAATGCATATTCATTAACCTGGTCTATGTCACAGTGAGACAAAAAGACTTTCTGTAGGTTAACTAAGCCCACCTGCAGAAAAGCATCACGGTGTAAAATGCGAATCTTGTTTTTGGATATGTTCAAAACTTGTACACCACTAGCCAGTTCTGAGGGAACTACATTAAACCCGACCCCAGAGCATTCAGCCGTCTGCTTTCCATTTCTCCAGATACAGTTACACTTTGGGTGACAGTTGAAGGCACTGACCACAGTCAGGACTGTCCAAAAGACTAAAAATACTTCTGACACTTTCACGGCTCGAAGATTGCCAGAAGAAGCCATCACAACGGGTCTAAGACTAATGTACTCTAGAATAAATTATATGATCCCTAAAGATCTTACAAGAGATAACCATTTTTATTCTGATTAATGTAGCTGCTTGCTTTCACTGAGTAAACTGGTCCTCCTTGACGAATGAGTTCATTGTAGTTCTGCTGCAACACTCTAAAATAAAAGAACAAACTAATGAAACAATGCCATATTTTTATCATATTTACAGAGTATAAAACTGCGAGAATCGTTAATTCATTAAAGAGACCCTATTTAGGATATTATATTTCTTAAATAATAAAATTGCATAAGTGATAATTACATTAAACAGTAATCAAATAACAGATTAGAAGAAAAATAAATGAAATATATTGTGATAACACAATCGATTTTTGAAAGACTTTACGATTACACAAATTATAAACCATGAACATGCCTCGTGAAAAAACAAACAAGAGCAGGTAATGATAGCAGAAACTTGAGAAGTCTGTCCGACACTATTATAGTAATGTGTAAATGTGTTGACCTTAATACATCGACTGCTATCTTTGAAAGTTTTCTAAATAAAGGTGGAAAAATAACATTTATATATAAGACGGGGTAGACTTCGAAAACGTAAAATGTTGCTGTAAAATAAGAACAAAATATAGATAATATTCTTAATATTTTGAGATATTAAAGTGTCGTTCAGATCATTATCTGGTAATGAGTGAAATATCACCACGACTATGCTTAAAATCAAACATCCAGTGTTTGGTATACACTTACAGCTAATGCTTCTTTGCGAATATTTGAAAAATGTAATGACTAGCAGTTTATCCTTAATGATCCAATATGACTAAAAGTTACAGAGAGCATTGTTTATGTTTAAGAATACTATAATAAACTTTGAACAGCTGTTTCATTTGACAGGCACGAGTTCGTATTTTCAGTAAAATATAATATAATATCAAATTTGCAAATGTAAATCAAACTTCTTGATTCTCTTCAAATGGTTTGGTTTTATTCATAAAGGTTCGCCGATGACACTGATTGTTATATTAAAATCAATTTCACAGCCTCCAAAACTCAAAATAACAATCGTTTAAAATTTCGCCTCTCAATGATCTTTTATAGACTATAGCTCACCCCTGTTTTGTATACGTAGCCATAATCTGTCCTTATAATGTGTAAAATACTTCCAAACACTGAGAAAGTTCAATATAATATAATAATCATAACAAGTACGCGTACCTAAGTCATTTTTTCCCTGTGTATAAATGTCGATGACGATAATTACGATTGATAAAGCTACTTCTGGTTCGAAATGTAAATAAAACAAGTTTGAGATAATAATACAAATACACAAACAACCTAATCCTACAGATGACAACAGATCTTTATTTCAAAGTGGGGATTTTAGCCATTCTTCGAATTCCTTTATTCACAAATGTTAAAACCACAAAAATGACCAGAAGAACACTTTTAATCTTGTACATAACTCACCCACAAGTAATGTAATATTATTCCAATCACTTTACACTTCATCTGAGCGTCATCGATGATTGTCTAGCATTCCGAAACAATTCAGGTTGCATGTGTTCCTTGTGCTGTTTGAGTCCCGAGTACATTATTGATGCTACTTATACACAGCAATTCTTTACTGTTACGCCTGTGTAACAGGTAATAACTAGGTAAATATAGATATATAAATCTGACTGTCACATTGAATACAGAATGAGCACACTTTTCTTTAAACATGGCGGGAGTGAATCGTTGGACGACAAGACCATCCCTTTCACTATTAGCTGATCCAGGTACATGTCATGATGTAGTGTGCTTCAACTAGAATACACCTAGTGTAACTAATCAAATACACCATTTACACAAACTGTGGAAAGTTCAAAGCCAGACCATTTACTTCAATATTTTGTTTCACGTCAACATCTTCCCGCTAAACCTGTTGGACTACACAGTATTGTGGGTTTTTTCTTCAGTTCTAGAGGCCTTGTATGGTTTAGGATCTGTTTCATATGGAAGCAGGTCGATAGTAACTGCAAAGAACACTGCCAATCCTCACATAATTCACGAAAAAAAAAGGGAATATACATCTATGTATAAATAACATGTCCAGTATGTTCTACTGTTTTTTGCGTGCATTCATTGCTTCTCCCACCCAATATAGTAGTGTGACAAGCCTTGAAAAACTTGAATTTTGTGTAGGATGAAGTAAATCCGATATATCCCTAAGTCATTCATCCACAACGGTCACATCATGTAGTTGTGTCGAGGTGCACAAGTTTTCAATTTTTTTTTTTTATAGAATATTGATAATTAATTGTTGCAACCAGGAAAATATAACACAAAGAACGACATTATTTAACCACCAGTGAATACAATGTTTTCAGTGTCATTTTGGAATATGTGACGAGTAATCGCTCCATCACTATTTTGCCCACCAGCAAGATATGACCCAAATACCGACACAGTTTAGCCATGAGTGGATACAGCTATTATTGGTTTGATAAGTGACTGCTGCTTATGCATACTATAATTTCACCTCTACAATGCATACTTGGCACTGTTCTTTGCATACGCATAAAATTAGGATATCAAGCTCTAGACAGTAATTCTTAACGGCTGGTATACAGAGGAACAAAATTGCCGTTAAAGGATAACGAGCCGAGTGCAATGTTCTCTTTACAGCAAATCATGCTTTGTAAAACTCCCAGTTGCAGACAGAATGCTGTTTAATAACCGAGTATGGAGTTTAAAGAAGATAAACTCAAGACAGTCTCATACAGATCTTACAAGAGTATTCCTCAAAGATAGATTACTGGAAGGCAAGTTACCAAGTTGAAACTTGATACATTTAGTCATATTAAAGTATTTACCATGAGCTAACTTTTGAGAGCTATCAAAGTCTACAATATTCCATCTCGGCTTTTCGCTGCTGCACACAATCAATCACATCTGTTTTATTATAACTGTTACGGTCTCATATATTTGTATTTATCACCTACCACAAGTCAGTACAAACTGCTTTATGTCAGCTAACTGTTGCAACACCAGTCTCCAGCATGTGGAATAAATAGTTGAGTTCGTGCTTCAAGTGGTATAACAGGCCAGCTGAATACATTTTGGACACATTTGGCATGATTGTTGGCCACTTTTAAATGCTAAGTTCTGGTTTGCTTGACGACGCACCAACTTCCACTGCCATATGAGAGGATAAACAGGCGTTTGGTACAAATAGCATCATCATTGACAAGAGTTTTCTCTCTCTTTGAAATAATCTTCTTTTATTTTTCCACGATGTTGTTCTGATGTGCGCTTTCTCCTTTTATGACCAGACTTCATGTGGAATATGCCACATATGTATGCCTTTAGCACGCCTGAATGATGTCTCGCTAACACTACTTCACCGTATTGTTTGTTTATGAATTTCGCACAAAGATACTAATGGGTTATTCGCGCCAGCCATCCCAACTTTCGAAATGATAGATTAGAGGAAAGGTTGCTAGTAAACACCGCCTATCGCCAACTCATTACCTCGTTTTTATCAATGAATAGTGAGATTGACTGTTACGTAATAACACCGCAATAGAAAGGGCAACCATGTTTAACAATGGGTTTCGATCCTGCAACTCGCATATTGATAATAAAATGCCCTAATTATCAGGCCACTTCAGTGTAAGTTCGGTAAGCAATGTATATATCATTATTAGTTCCATAACGTCAGAATCGTCTCATTTCACTGAATAATGTAATTCATAATGCGTATCCTTAAGAATATCTATACTGAGCAATTTGTGAATTCATTGGCTGATACGTAGGACGTACATAAGATTAATGTAGATTTGTTCAATGGTTAGGTTTTGCAAGTCGTACATTTGTATCACAAGAATAAAAGGTTTACAAACTTCGAAATACGATAAAAGACAGATATTGATACATTAGTATAAACAGTTTTTATGACAAAATATGCTACCTTTAAACAATATTTTATCTTAATACTTACCAAATTTCATAAAATATATTGATGAATGAAGTTGCTTAAGGGTGACGCTCGCGTTGCATAACAGATGCAAATTAGGAATATGATACTGAGTATAACTGCCCAAGTGGACCTATACAGAATTTGATAAGTATGGAAAAATACGGAGGTGACAATAAAAAGAGTTCGTACCTGTAAGTATAACCACGGTAGTTCCATTACATGTGAAACAACTTCTATGGTAAATACATAATTCTTGGCCGTAACTTTTAGACAGAATTCCAAACTTATAGACCCTTAACCTTTTGGTATATTGACTTCACTTTTTTAATTTTTTAGTTTGGCGAAACCATCAAATTTTTATTAAAAATATAATTATAGTAAATGATATAAGTTATATTTACTATAATCCTATTGTTTGGCTAGCTATACTCACAAAGTAGAAAAGCTATCGCAGACTTGGGAAAATAAATTTTTCCTGTTAACATTACTTTATAGACTCACAATAAAAAGGGATCATTAAGTTATATTAAAGTGATTTTGAGTCTCACCACATGCAATAGCTTTTCAGTCATGTTCTATCTAATGACCATGCATCTGGACAATAGAGGGCTCTGCAGGGTAGCTTCCACTGCAGAAGTCCAGTTGTAAGAATGCCATGTTCAAAGCACATCCCTCCACCCTGCGTGCTTTCCATTATCCGTTTAGTATACGAGAAGGTCGTTTTTTAGCACTAGTATGAACAGTCCAATCTATACAGAAATCTATAGATTCTGCATAAGGCGACTTGAACGACATGTCTACATATGGAATAGCATGAATAACCGTTTCATTATCTAGCTGTTTGAGGTATGCAATGGTTGAACGAAAGATACGATTGGAAACCTTATCTTGGTGATCCCATACCTGTTTGCCTCATTTCTGTACAAAGCCAGTATTTGTGTGAGGTATAAAGGGTCCAGAACATTGATCTAATAGTAAGCACAGAGCTCACCTTGACCTTTATAACCACCTTCCTAGTCCATAACTTCTTTTGGTGGACTATTTAGTGATTACATGATTCCCATTGAAAACGTTTCGTGACATACTATTTATCCCTTTCATTCACCGACTGGTAAAAAATGGAATGAGACATGTTGTAGTTATCAAAGTATATATATATGCTTCGTCAAGTGTTAAAATGTAATGTCATTCTTCA